GCTTCTGGCTGAAAGGATGACTCGCATAAAGAATTTCTCACTCTCCCATTCTCTGGCCAGCTCCTTTTATCTTTGAACTCAATGAGGCAATCCACTTCTGATCAATTTTCCACAATACTTAAAGAGACGGTTCACTCAAATATAAAGATTCTGTCATTATTTACCGTCAAGTATTTCTAAACCCATATGACCTATATGTGTGGCAGAAAGTCTAAGCTGTTCTCTGTCATACAATATGTGAATGGGGACCAGAGGCTGTCAAGTTAAAAAAATTATAACAAAAAAAAAACAAACCCACGAAAGTGGTCTATACTCATGCTCTGTGTTACAAGTCAACTAAAGCCGTATGATAGCTTTGTGTGGAGGAACAATTAAAAGTTGTCGTTCACTGAATAGCTTACCCTCTGCCACAGCTCTCAAATCTCTTTCATGTGTGCATATTTTTAGTCTGATTCTTACATAAAGCTATCGCGTGACTTCAGAATACTCAGAATATAGCGAATGAGTCATGATAATTATTATTATATACTAATATAGCCTACTAATATATAGGACTAATATAGCCTACTTTAAAGGGGTCATATGATGCGATTTCAAGTTTTCCTTTCTCTTTGGAGTGTTACAAGCTGTTCGTGCATATATAAGATCCCTAGATCATTCTAAAATGAAAATTTGCTGAAAATGTACTCACCCTCAGGCCAAAATGTCAGTGAGTTTGTTTCTTCATCAGAACAGATCTGGAGAACTTTAGCATTACATCACTTGTCCACCAGTGGATCCTCTGCAGTGAATGGGTGCCGTCAATGAGAGTTCAAACAGCTGTTAAAATCATCAAAACAATCCACAAGTAATTCACGTGACTCCAGTCCATGAATTAATGTCTTGTGAAGTGAAAAGCTGCGTGTTTGTAATAAATCCATCATTAAGATGATTTATAATTCCAAACAATTGCTTCTGGCTAAAATATTAGTCCTCTATCCATAACATTGCTTTTACTAGTGAAAAAGTAATCTTATCTGAATATGGAGAGAAATATGCACAAATCAAGGACAATTTACAAGTAAAAACAGTTCTAAACAATTATGTTGGTGGACTTTGATGTGAGAGGACAACAGAGGATGGACTTTTTTACCGCAGGAAGGGTTATTATGGATTATAGACTGGTATTTTGGCCAGAAGCGAAATTATGGATTTGTTTCTTAAAGACACACAGATTTTCACTTCACAAGATGTTAACTGATGGACTGGAGTCATGGATTATTGTGATCTGCTGTTTTATCAGCTGTTTGGGCTTTCATTCTGGCAGCACCCATTCACTGCAGAGGATCCAACGGTGAGCAAGTGATATAATGCTACATTTCACTAAATCTGTTCCGATGAAGAAACAAATTCATCTACATTTTGGATGGCCTTAGGGTGAGTACATTTTCAGCAAATTTTCATTTTTTCTTTTCATTTTTGTTATTTTTGGAGCTGGTGAATTTTAGTACATCTCACAATTTCATGGCATTTCTTCATACAGACTTCACTGCGCTTTTTATGGTGCAGTTAATAAGCAATTTTAAAAAGCTATATATAAATTATAGTTGGTGCTGTTCTCATCAAGAAGAACAGCATCAACTCATCTCATCTCATCATTTTTTTTTTCTCCTTATGCCAGGAGATTCTCCTATCCAGAGCTATCTGAGCTTCTTATAATTACAGCCTGACAGCACACAGAGTCTTCACAAAGGTCTAATAATCAGAAGGAGATGATCAGAACCATGGTCTATGCCTCTGAAAAGCTACACTGCTGAAATGTAATTAAAGTAGCCCAGGAGGTCATGCATACCACTCTCCTCCTTTACTTCACCCGCTGACATGTGAATCTCATGCTGTTGCACATCTGTACGGGTCACAGCGTTTAATGCAGCCTCTGAAAATTTTGTTCATCTTTATAAAGCATTCTATGGTTTCTGATTATGTTCTTGACCGCATTTATAGCAAATGGCCTTTCGTCGTACTCTAGTTCACAATCCACAATAGCAGCGGAATGACAGTTTATGGTTTCGGTTGTGGGTGGAGGGAGGTGTGCATAACCACCTTATACTCTGAAAAGTGATTTAATCAACCACAAAAATGTGGTATAAAAAAAAATGCAAACACGTCCCAAAGACCTTATATGGACTGATAGAGTAGGCTTAAGTAGGTTCAAATTTTAGAACATAAGTGCATGATATCAACAAAAAGTTGAAACAAAAAGTCCTTCTTGTTCCTTTGAAAGATTTTACAAGAGCAACAAAAAGGCAATGCAAGGTTTTTCTGTGTGGGTGGAGAAGTTAATCTAAGGTTTTGCATTCTCCCTGACATAACAGCGGAACAAAACTTTTTTTCACATCATTAAAACAATGCACTGACTCACTCCTGTGGTCTTTGTAAATTGCTTTGGTAGGAAAGCATTTGCCAGATGCATAAATGTAAATGTGAACACTACACACATACAGGCAGTTGACATGAAATACTTCTGTTAAATGCTTTTATGATTTCATGTTAATTGGGAAACGACATGGAGCATTTGCATGTTTAGAAATTAATTTGTCACATGACAGCAGGGAGCAGGGGTGTTAAAAGCATGTAAAAACAAAAGGTTGGGCGGTCATGAAGGTATGTTGCATCCTTTTTTTCTTACAAAATTATAAGCTATATATAAAATATGTTGTTAAAAAAAAGCTTTTTAAAAATCTTTTTGTGATCACTAATGACACAAGTTTGATTACAAGCAGAATGCATTAAACAAATGCTCGAACAGAAATCTTATCAGTAATCTTAACCCAAAATTACTGACAGAAATGGTTGACCCAAAGTAATTAAATAAGCATCATTTAAAATAAACTAGTGAAGGCAAAAAGTCCAAAACATCTTATATTTTAAATATCCATACACCAATATTACTATTGATAAAATAAATAGATTTTTGATAGCTGTATATTTTCACAAATTTACCTTCACAAAGGGAATTGTTTGGCAATAACATAAAGGCCTCCATAAAAGAACTTCCTCATTTTTTAAATTTATATTCCCATAGTTTCTCTATAGTTACTTTTTTTCAGCCAGAGTTTATTTATATTCCTGTTAGCACATCACATCCCCGTAGTCGTATGGGGAGAACAACCGGCAAGGCTGCCAATGAGATGGCTGATCTTTGGGATTTGAAGCGAACACAATAGGTGTTATGTGCTGAGAATCAAATCGTGTTGCTCAAGCCAGGATTTTGTCTTCTGTTGCTTTACAGAAGGCTGGGCGTTAACTAATTTTTACACCAAAAAATGCGCAGCTTCCTTAACAAAAAGCGGCCTGTGCGCTTGGATATAATGGTCAATTTTTGGAAAGTGCAGCTAAGCCTCTCACAATGTGGTGTAAGTCTGATTAGAATTAATCTTCTGGCTATTTTGGGTGTTTTTTTTTTTTTTTAAATGCTGATTGGGTATTTGCTGATGGAGTCTGGAGGATAAGCTACTTAGGCCTCTTGCTCCACTGTGTAACATTAAATACATCCAACATGTCCAATTTACTCTCAATAAAGAGCTCACTATTTGAATAAAGTAGCAATATTTGTAAATGTTATTTTACCTGAACAAAGAAATGTTTGTTTATATCTTTATGCTACAGCATGTTTTTGCTTTAGTGCTCATTTTGCCCCGTCTTTAAATATTAAAAAACATTCTCTCTATTTGAATGTTATTTGACAGAATAATATTTTAGGACCACATACTGTTTTCCTGCTAATAAAACCGTATATACTTTTACCCTCTCAAATGCTAATGGCATATAACCCTGAGATTAACAACTAAATAGAACATCTCTATAAAAATAAATGTTTCCCAACATTTATACACTAAAAAAGTGTGCTTTTTGTACATTGGTTACACATAAAGCAATTATGTTGCATCAACATAATTTAAGGAACAAAAACATTTTTTTAATTTGTTGCTTTAATTGCCTTCTCAGTCCCATTAGAAACATTCAAACACTCCTTCATCAACACCAAATCAGAAATATGTTCCTTTTTAACTCTTGTAAACCTATTATGTTCATTTTAACCTATTATAACCGATAACATTATCATCAATAAACTTGCTATTATTATAATGATTCACGTTTAATATAAAACCAGTCAATGCTGTGAGTGAAAACAGGCTCAACAAGTAGCTCAACTTCTCTGTTTAGCATTAGCATCCCAATGGTGTACAAATTGCATGATTTCCAGAGCAGACTTCAAGCAGTCTATTAACAGATGTGATGGCTGATGAATGACTGAGCAGGAATGAACATGACATTTAGAGAGAGTGGTAATAAAATGATAAATGTAACTCAAAAGTCATCTGTCTGAGCAGTTTCCCAATTATGGCTCCTCTGAAAGTTTGATTTCCATCAGGAGGGGTAATGAAATAACCCAGCCAACAGAGCTCTGACAAACCCGTGATCTCATGAGGGAGAGCAAGCCTACTGCAGCTGGCATTCAGAGCACCATAGTACGATTATTAAAAGATTAGCTCTCTCTCTCAGATTTGTTGCAACTTTCCCCATGTTATTTGTCACTTGCAGGAGACAAAAATCTTTTGAAATGTTAAGGAAGCTGGTTCAAACCTGAATCATATTCAGTACAAAGCAGAAAAGGGTAAAAATCACGAGGCAATTTAACACTACAAGGACTTAAAAATTATTTTTTTTTAAACCTCAAACTTTTAAACCTTTTTGTCATTATGAGTTAGCCTGACAACTTTTCCAAAATTGGCTAATTGGTACAGCTAAAGCATTCCAAGTGTTTTTATGGTGTTTTAGGCATTTGTTACACTTAAGATGAATCCCAACACAGCTATATAGGAGTGTGAATGGGGTACAAAATGTGGTGAACCACTGATCTATATAATTATCCATTATTATAGCTCAGTGGTTCGAACGCGTTTTGCACGCACGAAGCTCCGCCCCTCATCTGTCAATCAACCACTACAGTAAACAACGCTTAAAATTTGAAGTGCTGACTTCGAGGTACTACTTCAGTACGACTGATGAGCACGCGATGACAGACCATGTGAAGCACATCTGAAGTGAATACAGGTAACTTACTTCACTAAAATAATTCTGCTCGTAACGTCACGTTTGAGGTAACATTAAACTGGGCGCTTTATGCTCAATTTAGTACGTAGTACGTTGGCAGGATACACTCCCAAGTATTGTTTAAATTTCTAACCCTGTGAGTCATAATAACAGTGATCTTAGCAAGCACTAGTTATTAAAATTGACAGGAGATCCATAGACTCCCCTTAGATGCCAGTTTACAGGGTAAAGCTTCTCTTTTTTTTATGTGAGCTCTCATGTAGCTTATATACTGAAACAGATGCTTGCACTTAGCATGGAGAACCATAAAACCATCTGTTCAACAGGCCTGACGACAACTTTATCAGCTTTTGCTGAAACACTGGCCTCTGGTGGTTAATCATTGCCATGTATAATAGAAAGAACAGGCTTTTTAACACATTTGGAAATGTGTTTCCTGAAACAGGCTTGAATTATTCTGTGAACTCTAATGATGTTTCCTTCCTTTACCTAATTTAATTATGTTCCTGTTTTCCAGGAACAGGACATGTTTTTCTTTGGAAAAAGTCAATGTTGAAGTACCAAACATCTCCACATGAGTGTGACATAACACTGATAATCAAATATGAACGGTCACCCTCAAAGTGTTTCTAGTAACTTTGTTTAAATCTTTCCCTTTTGCTTTATTATGGCGGATATGTGGAAATGTGCATAATCTATTGTCGACAGTGTTGTTATTGTTACTGTAACTAAACTAAAACTATCAAAAACCAGTTTTTGGTTAACTGAATTTAGAAGCTAAAATAAAATATAGGCTAAATATTAGATGAAAAACTTTGAATTTTTGAAATGTTGCTCTGGCAACTAACATTGAAATAAAAAGAAATTAAAGCTAAATAGAAATGTTTAAAAAAAAAAGAGAACTAATAAAAATGTCAAAAGCATAGCAATTACTAAAACTTAAAAGAATACTGAAAATATAAACATAAAAGCTAATTCAAAATATTAATAAATATATAATAATAAAATCAATAATGAACAATGCAGACATCCAAAACAGACGTGTTGGTTTCTGACTGATGTTGTGAACATGAAATAATGTTCTTCGACCCTGTCAGCCCACTTTCCCTTGACCTCAAATTAGTGTCATTTTGAAATTAGTGTGATGTTGTAAAGTTGTTTTAGATAGAAAATCACCAAAATGATGCAATATGAAACAATTTGTTTGGATTATTATTTGATCATCAGTGTGAACCTCTGCTCCTTATTTATGTGTGGGAATGCAGAAGAGTGTAACTGACAGCAAATGTGATTTAGTATTTGTGTTTAAATGGTACTGACAGAAGATGAAATGCTCTGCAGTGATAAGCTGTGCATCATAATGGCTCCTGGAGCGCTCTTGCTCTTGTAAATCTTGAAATCAAGTTTCTATAGACTGAAGTTCATGGCTGATGGCGTTACCTTCACTTGAAGCAGATTAATAGTCGGTGCAGTTGACATGTTGTGACGCAAGTTGCTTACAGAGTCACTTTACACCCCTTTATCTATCATCACGTCTAAAGCCTGACTGCATTTCACAACTAAGCTGCTAACAGGCCCTTAAATATGACCTTATCCCATCACATCATCTTTTGATTTGGAGACAACTTCATAAAGTGACTCATAATGTCACTCAGAGAGACTAGTGTCAAGATAATATGGGTAGTGCAAGCACAGCGGCACTTTTTATCAGAGCATCACCCAAGGCCGGCGCCGACATGTTTGGCAATTACATCCATGGCGTGCAACGCTGCCTGGCAGCTGCCCAACAAAAGAGACGCTCCAGCTACTTTGTTGATACCCAATCACCCGCTTACGCAAGCCTCTGTGAAGTCATAATAGAGGGCGGAGCTACCTGACTCTCAGGTCAAAATGCACATTAAGCTTTCTCTTTCAGTCTGCCTGAATTTAGCACAAGAGGACGCTTTATTGCTGCCAGTGGTTCCGTTCCCTTGTGAAAAAGAAGCACATGTTTAGAATACTTTTGAAAAAGTTCATATTACGGAAATAATATACTTCAATATATTCAAACTAAATGTAATGTTTTCATAAACTTAACTGCATGTTAATTGCAATGAAATAAAAATGTATTATAGTTTAAATTTACATTGAACACAGTTAGCTGAACTTTAGTGTGCTTTTTTGAGCATTTTTTGAATCTTTATAATCTCATAAATACTTTTATTGTCTTGGTTAAATGGTTAAAGTGTACTGCCGAATTTACTGCACTGACAAGCATTTATGGTAAAAACATATACTTTAATGTCAATTATACTGAAACTTGTATGTCATTTATTAAATTTTTTAAAATAAATTTAATTTATTTTAGCAGATTACACATTTGAATTAAAATGTTAACTTTAAATGTAATATTGAATAACATAGTTAAAAATATAATCAAAGACTTTGTTAATTATTTTAGATGTTTTAGTCAACAAATCCAAATTAATATACTTCCTAAAAACACGACATGATTTTTTTTTTTAAAGCGCACTTAAGTGTGTAAATAACAGTCATGAAAGTATATTCTCTTTATGTACACTTAAGTGGCCTTTTATTCGATCAATATTATATTACCTGCAAGTACAGTTATATAAGTATACTTTTAAGGTTTGAACTGAAGTACACTACAAGTGCACATTCAATACAGTTAAGCACACCTTTTTCGTTAACAAGAGTTATTTTGACATCTTGAGACTTTAAGAAAATTATTAGTGATTTCTGATGGTCTGGAAATTAAAAAAGAAATCACAAGGAATAAAATGCAATGCACTGTGCTACAGTTTTGCTTTATACAAAACCTATGCATCTTTCTAGAGAGACGTTTTTCACAGAATGCACCACAGATGTAAATAAGAAAGAGTTTATTCAATTTTGTTCACACACTTAAGATGTACATATTTACAAATGCTCATTTGAACAGTGAATTTTAACCGTTAAACCCTCACGGTCAAGCCTTGGGGTTTGTCACAAATACATAATTCACAGTGCAATATGAACTCTGTGCACTTGTGTCAGCTTTCCCCATGTGTTGCATGCATGAGACAGGCATTTTGCATACCCTCCAGCCTTCGCTTATAGGAGCCTTTCAGAAACCATAAACGTCGTGTATCACCATTATGCTTGGATTTAGAGGTAACATACAATCCCCAACACGAGGGCAAGCAGAAAACAGACCTTTATAGGATGCTCAACCCTTGCAGTAGTGCTATTGTAGTACTGTTCTCCTTTCTTTAAAGTGAGAGTAAAAATATGCATATGTAGTCATACTGAGCACACTAATCTGGGTTCATAGCCCTTTCCTCTTCGTTACACCAATGCCCCGCTGTTGAGTCATCTTATATCTTACTCACAGTATGAACTGGCCTGCCATACTGAAGCCTCATGCTTTTATGAGGTTGTTTGGATTCAAGTAAGGAAACTGTGACTAGAAAGACTAGAGAGATCAGGATACAGCAGAACAAATGAACACTGTATCAAGTCTGTAAGAGGCTCATCCTGAACATTTAAGGATCCGTATGTAACGGTGACCCGTTGGTTGTCACAGAGTCTTAAAGTCAATAAGTGACATTTAACCTCTGAATGGCTCTTATGTACAATTTGGCAATTCTGAGAGGCATAAGTCAGAATAGCACACAGTATCTGTGATTTAAAACAGCTTATTGCATGTAAGCAGAAGTGCTACCTTAAAATAAAATTAATAAATCAATTATCAATTTATTAATTCAAAAATAAAATGCTGCTAATTACCATTTAAAATGTACAAATTTAAACATAATTACCAGTGTTTATTTAATTCATGTTTAAAATGGTAAATGTAGCAAAATATTAATTATATTTATTAATATTAAATAATAAAATCATTTTAAATGCTTGTTTAAAATTGTATTTAATAAAGCATTGGTAAGTTGCTTTTCTTAAAGTCCTCATGAAATCAGAAATTACACTGTTTACTTTGTAAGAGCACATTGCTAGTCTTGAGGTGAACAATTAATCCGTGCAAGTTAACCAATGAACTTTCAACTAGTGCTGTCAAATGATTAATCGCGATTAATCGCATCCAGAATAAAAGTTTGTCCACATAATATATGTGTGTTTCAACAGAGTTTTAAGACACACCCCTTTGACGCACAATGGCTGCTAATGAGTAAGGAAAAACATTAAAAAGAATAAAGAAAGCTTTTGTTTATTAAATGCTTTTTAAACCATTTGAATTTAAAAACTATTTATCTATTTATTTATATATTTGACTACATTTCTAAACATGAATTAAAAAAAGGTTAAAATGTCTATATTTGTATTTTTAATTTTTTTAAATTATTACTTTTTTAATTAAATATATTGATAATTGTTTCTTCATTATATTTTTAAACTGCACTTCTAGTCCTCCATATGTATGCGTGTGTCAGATTCCTTTAGTTTTCATTCTCCTATAAAAGGAGACATGTACCTTTGGTACAGCAGTATTCAATTAGTGACAATTCGTTTTGACAGTAAGAGTGAAGCTAAAGGTCTGCCCCATAGGCCGAGGTTAGTCACCATGCCGACATTCTCACATTCTTTCGTTATCACGTGACCCATAATGCCCAGTCTCATTCACTTCACACAGCACAAGAATGGTTCACTAGAAGACGACTTCAAAACGACTACACTGGCTGTTGTGCACACTGTCTTTAAACCTGACACACATGATACAGTACGTTGAGTGAGTACTCACTGAGTGTATACTTCTGAATCTATTACAAAATCCATATAAGAAACCAAATAATAAAAACAAAACACCAAGATCACGAACAGTTTTGGTCCATATTCAAGCTATATTGGTTTCCTCAGGAGAAAAAATCCTCGTCCTGCTCCATTTCTATCTGGGGCACTGTCTGTTCTCCCAGGTTGACTTCCTGTTCTGCTTTTCCTGTGTCCTGCGTGTTGCCATTAAACCACGGGTGAATGAGGACCTCCGCTGTGGTCAGTCTTTCGCCTGGGTCCTTTCTGAGCAGACTGCGAAGTAGGCAGCGTGCCCTTAGAGACAGCCCATCGGGGAGGCAATATGTGCCCCGTCGAATCTTAGAGAACAGGGTTGCGGGGTCCGGGTCGTGGAAAGGATAGCGGCCCACCAGCATTGTGTACAGCATGACGCCGAGGCTCCACGTGTTCGCATGCTTGCCTGAGTAACACACTCCGCCGTTTAAAATCTCAGGACTCACGTACGCAGGGCAGCCATGCGTCTCGAACATCGAGTCGTCCTCTCCGCGCAGAATATGGCAGTCCTCCAGACCCTCTAATTTCAGTTGGGCCCTAAAATAAACACATCATGGTTTGTACATCAAGTAATATTTACTGTGTTTTGGCTGTGAAGAAAATCATATGACTGATATATACAGTCCATTCAGAATCAGCTACATTGCACTGATGATCAGGTCGTTTTTCACATTTTCCACTCAAATTTTGATGTAAAACTTGTGGAATTTTTCAAAACAGAATTTGAAGTTGCCACTTTACATGATAAGTAGGTGCTTGGGGATCAGTAAAAAAAAAAGTGATGTTTCATAATCTCTTAATTTGAACAAAAATACAGTTAAAACAGGAATACTGTGAAATGTTAGTGCAGTTTAAAATAACTTTTCTATTTTAATATATATTTTAAAATATCCTGTGATAGCAAAGCTGAATTTTCAGTTGTTCTTATTATTTATTTGGAAACTGACGCATTTATTCATTTGGTTTAAATATTTTTATTATTAGAAATTTTAGCAGACAGTCACTTGTAATTACACTTGTAATTACACTTTTTTTTTTAAATACAAACATATAAAACGTACATTTTAACAAATAAACAACATTTATTCATTCGAACAGTAGTGTAGTTTTAGGGCTATGATATTTAACCTGTGTACTTGTATATTAATATGAAGATATTAATGTAATCATTTTTACTGACATTCACCAGATTTGTTAAAAATAATATTTCATTCTGCTTTCTAAATACAGGTCAGAAATTATCAAGTAAAGATAATTTAAATATTTTCCAAATAATATTTTAACAGTTTGCTTTAGTACAATAACAGTTAGCCGGTTATTGTTTTTATAGATGAAAATATTAAGCTGCCTTTATACTTTAAGAAGGGGGACACTTGCCTCATTTGGTCCTTGGTATCAATAAATTTGACAATGCATTTTCATAACTCTTAATAAACTGCCATCAGAGAGCAAGTTCAAGTCTTAAACACTGGAAAAATGCTTGTGTTACACTTTTAACAAAGCAGAAAGCATAATCAGATTAGCCAAGATATAACACAGAGGGTGGGGTGATGTAAATGACAGGTGATCCGGCTCTGCGGAGATCTACGCAGAACTCTGTGGGCACAGATTCCTTGTGGGCCTGCTGATGATGGATTTAGTGTCTTTCTCTTCCATTGCTAAACAAAGTGATGTATTGAAGCCTTCCTTTATTGTGCGTCGAGCTGAAATATCTCTCCATCCCTTTTGTTGAGCTCACAGATTGCTGTGAAGGTAAATCATGGAAACTACTACCACAACAACGGCACTACTACAACAAATATAGGACAGATCCTCATCTAATTACAGCCTTCGTTTAAACAAAAGCACGCGCACAAAATAAACACACTTCCTCTCAGTCCAAAGAGCTCTGTAATGTATTCTTGTGAACTTTGGGCTAAGTTTAGCTCAGTTTCCAATAGGAAACAAATCCCCTACTACTCTAGGAATATCCCTGTAGACTATATAGGTAGACTTGATGACCCATGAGTCTGTCGTATCCCTTTCAGTAAAACATGAGCTGCTCTGCATACTCTTGTGTTTCATCACTGGCTATCAGCCTCGGTTTGGGGGGTTTGCAGATGACATGACAACATTCTGCCAGAGAGGTGGAGAGAATGAGTCATAGTCCTGTGTGTGTGTGTGTGTGACAGACAGAGAGACTGTGGACAAATGAATGCACTGTGCTGTGCTGCAGGTCCACTGTGTTCTTCCTGCACCTGTGCCGTACGCTCACGGCATCTGGCAGAGCCTTATTACCCACAAACAGCGCTGTTACATCAGTGACGCATGAACGGCCCCTGCCCAGCCAGCCTGTTTGTGTTTGTGTGTGTGTTTCACAATCTAACTGCAGACGCATTTCAGGTCATTGAGTGTCTTTCTGTATGCAATCACACACCGTATCTCAGCGTTATCACAGTTTCGACCTTTTTGTTGCTTATCCACCACTCATCATTACCGCATTTTACAAAAGCTATTCTAGCTATGGTAATTGCATTCGGAAAGACACCGTGTACAGACAGCAGGTTTGTATAATCTGTCACTATGCTGCTTGGTGCCGAACAAAGTGAAAGAAAACATTCTTTGCGCTTTTCGTCTGACCAAATGTC